CAAGTGAGAGACCAAAAAAACTCCTTGTAGCATCCAAGATGAACTGAAGGTAAAGATTATGGCATGGTTGAAGCCAATAGTGATTTTATTGAATAAATATACTCTTTAGTATTTCAAAATATTTTTGTGTAATTTTGGTAAATATATCTGTTAAAATGAGATATCAGTATTGAAAAGTGCTTAATACACATAGGAAAAAATAAGTAAAAATAATAATAATATGTAGAGGTTTTAAGTTTAAAAATCAGGAAGTCAATTAAAATACTGCGACTGCAGTTTTGACCTGGCGCCACATAATGATCTTTCAAAGAAATAACAGTCGTATGATGATTGAAAGACAGGACATTGGGTGTAATGGGAAGGAAAGTGGAAAAGGAGGTGAAGGAAAGAATGGAATATATATATATATATATATATATATATATATATATATATATATATATATATATATATATATTCCATTTCCATATAAAAAAAACAGGAAAAGGAAAATCATTTGGTATACCCCTCTGTTCAACCAAATGGTTCATATTAAGCTAGGGCATAAGTTCCTAGCTTTAATTGAAAAACACTTTCCTACTAATAGCAGACTTAGCAAGATCTTTAATAAAAACACCTTAAAATTAAGTTACAGTTGCACTGAAAATCTAGAAAGAATCATAAAAAAAAACATAATAATAAAATCCTGGAAAAACACACATGCCAAAACAGTATTAATAAAAATCCTAAACTGAAATTAGACAAATATAATGAAAAATTATGTGATTGTAGAAACCCTGAAGACTACCCATTGTTAAATAAATGCAGCACAAAATCTGTGGTATACCAATGCACTATCTCATCCATTGAGAGTCCTAACACTGATAGGATATACATTGGTTCAACAAAGAATGAATTTAAAATTAGATGGAGACAACACAAAAGCTCCTTCAATAATATTAGAAATAGAAATCAGACATCTCTATCCAAATATTTTTGGCATTTAAAAGAAATGAATAAAACACCAAAAGTAAAATGGAAAATAATAAATAGAACAAGAACTTGTAAAACCTGGGATGACCTATGCCTACATGAAAAACTACACATTAAGTTTCTAAATAATGAAAATTTATTAAACCATAAAATGAGTTAACAGTTTTCTGCTGACATCAACAAATTTTCACATTAAATAATTAGCATTAAAAAAAAAAAAATTAAATTTCATAGTCTAATAAAAGGTTTAAAAGCTTAACCCAATCATAAGATAGAAAAACCCATTATGAAGTCATAAAAAAAAAACAAATTGTAATTTAGTGCGACACTTTTAAGTACGAAATAACCCCTTGGAAAAAAAAATAAAATAAAATAAAACAAAATTCTCTAGACACTTAACCACATATTATGGTGCCAAAAGCTATCTTTTGCTATGACTGACCAGACGATGTGTACACATGAATGCCATCATTCGCTTTGAAATGGATACCCCCACCCTACCTCGACTTGACCTCTTTCCGAAGGTGACTGATATGTGGATAAAAATTATCTTAGACCCCTTACGGAAATGGTCCCCCCCCCAACCGTTTCCATAGTAATTAATTTTGCGAATTAACATGCTTATAAATATGCATAAATTTCAAGATTGGTTATTCCTAAATTTTCGATTGAAGGTGAAACAGGGCTTGATACTTTAACTCAATTTAAATTTAATAATTATATCGAGGTTTTTGGCTCTCATTTTTGAAACATGAGAACTCTTATGTAGCGAAAGAATCATATTTTTTAAAAAATAATTATAATTTAAGCACTACTTCTGTATGGAGCACTGTTTTTTAAAAGTAAAAACAAAAATATTAAAGAACTCTGGATTGTTTGCCTAATGTGTTCTTTCCTATTTTTCTACATATCTGCACACACACACACACACACACACACGTGTGTATATGTGTGTGTGTGTGTATATATGTATGTGTGTGTATATATGTATGTATATGTGTGTGTATATCTGTGTGTGTGTGTGTATATATATGTGTGTGTGTGTGTATATATGTGTTTATGCATTTTCTCACCACCAAATTATGCAAATGAGTTCAATCTAGCTCATTAAATATTCAAAATGTCTACCACCTGACTAACTGGAAAGCTGAATTTCCAATTAACTCTTTTCTTCTTCTTTTTTTTTTTTTTTTTTTTTTTTTTTAATCATTTCACCCCAAACAAGGCAGTAAAGCCACCGAGACATAAGGAGTTACTGAATTTGAAAGAATAAGAAAAAGAAAAACATTATTAAGGAGAGAGAACAATAAAATAACAGGAATTGAGAATGCAGAAGATAACGATTGACATTGCATTTAAATGTTTGAAGATCAAAGTTGACTGGAGCCAAAAGAGAGTTCCACAAGCTAGATGTGCGAGAGAAGAAACTGTAAATTGATGAGACCTTGTTGCCAATCTGGTACTTCTCTTAAATTCATAAAGTCTTGGTATCATAACAGAAAGGATAATTACCATGAAAGTATTTATTGAAAAGATACAGAGAAGCTACATTACAGAAGTGCGAAAGTGACTGAAGCCGAGATGTCAGGTCTGGACCAATAACATTGTGGATTCTTCTTTATAAAAAATCTCTAAATATATAGCAGGCGCACCAGATCATATGTGGCAGCAATATTCAAACCATAGATGAATGGTAAACTTCTAAATATGTGCGATAGATTCTGAAGAGAAAATATTTTCTAGCACAAATCAGTGAAACAACTTTCTTAGCTAGAAATTGATTCAGTATAATTTTTCCACGTCATGTCAGCAGAAAATGTTATCCTGAGAAATTGAAATAAGTTACTCTCTTGGAGATTCTCTCAGGATATGGATAAACATTGTTCTCTACAAACTCTTATATTTTGTTGCTCTTAAAAGTACATGACCCATTGTGACCCCTTTTATTGTTTCTTTGTTGCTTGTTCTTTTATTCTTTTGCTCACTAAACTACATCTGGCAACAAGGTGGCTGATCAAGAGATCAGAGGTTTTGAATTGCTGTTGTTACCAGAGCCACCCTGACCCGGGGTGGTAGTACCTGTTAGGGTCCCAGCTATAGGCAAATAGTGATCCCCAAAACAAAAACAAAACACTATGAAAGTATAAAAATACATTTTTATAGTAAAATTACTGGCAATACATCATACTTATTATAAAACCCAGGTTGTGTGTGTGTCTGTGTGTGTGTGTACGTTTATATATTGGATCGGATTTCCTACATTTTTCAGCCGACATCAACAAAACTTCACAGGACTACGTAAAATTACCTTGCAGTGGTTCTGACAGCCCCCCAAATTGGAAAAACACAATTGTTTTTGCACGAAATCAAGTTGAAAACACAATTAAGAAGCATCGCAAGAATGAAAGGGGGACAACTCATATCAAGTTATACTTATTATAAAACCCAGGTTGTTTGTGTGTGTGTGTGTGTGTTCGTTTATATATGGGATCAGATTTCCTACATTTTTCAACCGATTTCAACAAAACTTCACTTCTTTTTTTTTTGGCAGGTAGTGTTTCTTATTGTCTTGCACACTTTTTCATTATTTTTACATTCAGAATGCTTTAAAAATTCCATTTACAAGACAATTGTTTATAATAAAATTCTATTCAATCGATAGACTCATAACAAATGAAAACAATGTTTTTGTTTGAGTTTGACCAATTCGTAAAAAGAAAAAACAAAAAAATAAAAATAATTAAGACATGCGTGTCCGTCAACCTTAAACAATAATCTTTGTCAATTTTATTTTTCAGTCTTTATGATGGTCAATACTTGATCTATCTCTTACTGTTACATCCCCGGGCAATGCCAGGCTCTACTGCTAGTCTTTATATAAAATTACCAACAATACATTTTATATGTAGTTGAAGACGTACAATTATGTTCAAAATGTATTTAGTTGAAGCCATAAAATTGTGTTTGAAATATTTAGATTTTGGCATTAAATAACCCACAGAGGTTGATATACCACTAAACAAAATCAATTAATCAACCAACCATTTGCTCAAATTTATCAAGTAGGGAAAACAAGCCATTTTTTTTTTTTTTATTTAAAGAAGTTAACTTTGTGGGGGATACAAGACAAAAATAAATCTATGGTGATTCTGTCTACTTAATCCTGGGTATAATGATAAACGACATCCAGCAGCAAGGTCTTTGATCAGGAGGTTTTGATGAGTATGGAACTACCTCTTAATTGCTGTTGTTCCTTGGTCCGGCCTGACCCATGGTTTTATCACCTGTTAGAGTCCCAGCTATAGGCAAATAGTGAACCCCCAAACAAAAACAAAACACTATGAAAGTATAAAAATACCTATTTATAGCAAAATGACTAACAATACATTTTATCTGTACTTGAAGGCATAAAAATTCAAAATATTTAGGTTTTGTCATTAGAGGTTGATATGCCACTTAACAACATCAACCAAACAAAACCCTTCTGTTTACTGGTAGAGACAGGGCTGTTTCAAATTGTTGACACTTAATCATCAGTCATGTAATCTGGCCACATTTTTTAACTCATAAATTTCTTCCCATTTTCTGCTCCCTCCACTGTGGCTTTGGATTGAACTCTTACACAATGATAAAACAGTGTGGAGATACAAAATGTCATATTCCTTGTGATACAAGTAAAAATGTTTAATGTTATATACAAAACTTTAAGCTTTATTTAAATCTTGTGGGTTTAAACTAATAAAGTTTCAATGGTTTTTCAGACTTTCCTTTCTATTTTCAAAGTCTTCATAAATTTCTACACATTTTGTACATCCATTGAACTTTCACACCATAAAACAGTGTGGAAATACAAAATATCTTTTCTCTTGTGATACATTACAAAAAAAAAAAAATCTCTGGATACATTTAATCCCACCTTTTGATCCTTGTTTGTTCATGTAAATCTCATTAGTTGAGATTTGTTAACCATTCAACAGTTTAACCCTTTGAAGAAAAGACTACAGAGTTGATCCTTCTTTGCCTTATGCTTATGGCCATATCACTTTTAAACACCAGTTCCCTTAAAATCACCAAAGTTAAGCAATGTCAAGTCTAGTCAGTACCAAGATGGGTGACCACTTGAGAATTCCAGGTACTGTAAGCTTGCATGTACAGATAAGTATAATGAATAATGGCTCACAATTGTTAATCAGAGAGCTGAGTTCCAATTCCTGTTGGTTTTGCTATATTCACTTACACACAAATATCCTTGGGAAAGGTATGAATCTCCTTCTACTACTCCCATTTATGGGTTAATTTGTAAAACTTGTATCACTAAAGCATTATTAACTAAAAATATTCTTATAGCCAAAAAATATTTTCTGGCTTTAAATAATCCACGAAGGGTTGATAAGCTGTAGAAAACAAATCAATCAATCTGGCTGTCTTTGATGATGATTGCTGGAAGCTGTTATAACTTATTTGGCTCTTATATGTCCCACTTGAAGCAAAACCATTTAATTTTCCTCTTTCTGGAATGAAAATAATTAATGAGAAAGTAACCAAATTACATCCCCTTTTTTCAACTATGGAAGCTTTTAAGTGTTTAATCCTACATAGATTTATCATGGTTTAGAAATATGTTTACTATTAATTTATTCAGAATTCTATGTAGATTACTTTCATTTAATCATGTGTTTAATCTGTCCATGTATTTTCCTGCTTCTCTATTATTGTCATAATCATCTTTGTATGTTTAACTAAATTTGTCTCTGAACTTTGAAAACTATTTTCTCCATCCACCTTTTATAATAATCTATATCCTTTTCTTACCTGCTTCAAACTGTACTCATTTATTTACCTTTCTAAACTCTTCTAGCAAACACTTATCTGAACCACTCATGATACTTAACCTATACTGTTTTTTTTAGCATAAATGGAAGGGAGACAAAATATGTCCTGAACTTTAAAAATTATTTTCTCCATCCACTGTTGCAAATGATCCACCTTTGTAATCTTTTGTATGTCCTTTATTACCTGCTTTAAACACTGTTGCAAATGATCCACCTTTGTAATCTTTTGTATGTCCTTTATTACCTGCTTTAAACACTGTTGCAAATGATCCACCTTTGTAATCTTTTGTATGTCCTTTATTACCTGCTTTAAACACTGTTGCAAATATTAATCTTTTGTATGTCCTTTATTACCTGCTTTAAACACTGTTGCAAATGATCCACCTTTGTAATCTTTTGTATGTCCTTTATTACCTGCTTTAAACACTGTTGCAAATGATCCATTTTCTCTGAAAAACATTCAAAATATTCCACTTTCCTACCTTCATCTAGTAGGTATGGAGATAGTGATTGGATAACTGGTTTCTCTGTTTGATTATTTTGAGGCAAACTTAAAAGGGAAACAAAAAAAAAAGAGGACAGTTTTAAAAGCTATTTCTGGAATGTGTCTACTTGGCAGTAAATAACAAAGAAAGAAAACTTAAAACTCATTTATTTATCTTACTCTTCTGTCCTAATAAACTTGCTCTTTCTCTAACAGTGACCATTCTAATCTCACAGAAAGCAAGGCAGGTAGATAGATATGGCTTTTATGTGTAGATATTTTAATTTGTTTTTTTTTCTACAAGTGTGTGTGTGTGTGTGTGTGTGTGTTGGGGTGGTAGATGTTTTCAGTTCTAAGGTGTGTCACTCTGTAACTTGGATAAGCTTTTGTGAAGCTCATTGGAGTAAATTAGCATGTTGCTCAGGTGGAAATCTTTTTCAGGGGATTGGTAGCCTTTCAGGCTAATCTGGTTCACACCGTTATTGAAAATAATTAAGTATCAGATGAAAGTAGATAATATAAAATACAATATATGTAAAATTTTGTGTGTGTTTGTGTGGAAATACATATACATACATATATATATATATATATATATATATATATATATATATATATATATATAACCTTGAAACTGATAGTCCAAGAATAAATTAAATATGAGTTGTCTGAAATTGGTGTTTATATGCCCAGAAAAAATATCTGATTTTTTTTTTTGTTTTAAAATCAAGGCGTAGTATCTGTTTCTTATTTATCCATATATAATGGCAAATTCTTTCTAATGTCCTGTTCACACCCCTCCTCCTCATTTTTTTTGAACAGGAGTAAAGGTTTACCCCTTCTTCCCTGTTTAGGACTAGGTTTCTGGTTCCTCTAAAGTCTTTTCATTCTCTCACTCTCAGTAACCCCTTGTGTCTTAGTGGCATTATCACCTTGCTTGGGGTGAATTGATTAAAAAAAAAACAGAATTATCATGTGGAATGAAGGCAGTGTTGGTGCAGGTTATGCCTCATGCTTAAAGAAAATTGTTTATGCCTTATGAATACTGACAAGTGAAGAGGAAAACTGCAGTCACTAGAAAATGTCTCTGCCATTTATGCAAATTTACATAAATCTCACACAGAATTGGTTTGGCTCTAATTTTTTTCTCTTGCGATATCAATCGTTATCTTCTATGGAGGTTAATAGGTTGCTTGTTTGTGTGTATTTTAGGTGGTGATTGCTCAATATGTAAACAAAGACGATAGAAGCATACAAAAACTCTAGTTCTACTACAAACGTTTATTCTTTTTATGATGACTGTAGTGAAACAAAGTTCTCAATATCTCTACAGTATGTCTGTTCTCTTTCTGGTCCAAAAGTTAGGGTAGGTAAGTATAAGTTTTGTATTCATGGTCGATCTCGAGTCAGCCTTGCACAGAGTTGGAACAACAAAAGGAAAGTTTCTACTTACTTTATCACTGGGAGATTTAAACATGGTTATGTGATGTCCATTTTCTTTTCCTTGGTCCAGAAGTTAGGGTAAGTTTGTACAAGCATTGTTACTGTAGTTGTACTCAAGTCAGCCTTGCACTGAGTTGGAACAACTAAAGAGAAAGCTTGGCCTACTTCATAGGTTAAGGTTTTTGTAAGATACATGTGAGTGTTGTGCGTCAGAAAATGGCAAGGAAGTTCAGTCATCAGTAGTCCAGGGGAAACTAATATTCCCCAATGGGAACATAATTGCCATATGGTTCATATCTTGGAGCAAAGAGGAGAAAGATAGTGAGGGAGGAAATGTTTGCCTTTTTATAGGCTTTAACAGTGCCACCTAACATTTACATTTGATGAAATCAAGTGGGACAATCATATTTTCAGTTCCTTTACTCTTAGCATCATGGAAAAATGTATTTCTTTTTCTTTCTTTGTTTTTATTACTCATTATTTTTTTTCTTTTTTAGTGATTTTATTTCATTTTCTCACAGGTAATTTAATCTAGAGCAAGTATGAACATCAAAAATCATTTTTTCATGCTTCTTAAAAGTTAGATTTTCTTTTTTTCTATTGCTCTATCTATCTATATTAGTTTGTTTATTTTAATCTAGCTCCTGTGGAGAACTCTTGATTGGGCCTTCATCACAATAGGTAGGGAGTAGATGTGATAGGCAACAATACACTACAGAAGAACTGATCACTGTATTTAAGTATTGCATTAGTATTTAAGCTTACCTTTTAAAAGTTCAATGATAATTCTTCTACCGCCACTTAATTTAAAGACAATTTGATGTATGTAGGTCCTTACTTTCCGTACAAACAATTATTTTTATTTCATGGGTCCCTTTCTCTGGATTTCACAATTCATTTTGATTATTCCCAAATTTATTTCCAAGTTATAAATATTGTTATCATACAAAAAAAATTTGTCACAAAAAAAAACATTTAAAAAAATCACCAAAAACAATCACAGTAATGAAAACTTGAGAATCCAAGATTTCAGGATTGTGGGTCCAGATTTGGCCTGGAATATTTTCAATTTGCTCATTGAAAACAGTAATTTTTTTATTTGAACATGAGCCATTGAAAGTTAGAGAGTTGTGTCCCTTCTATTGTTTTTATCAGTAGAAGCCAAGATGGAGCAATCTGAAAACAATCACGGTAATGAAAACTAGGGAATCCAAAATTTCAGGATTGCGCTTTCAGGATTGGCCCATAATGTTTATAATTTGCTCACGGAGTCAGCCTGATTCCCAAATGTTATATGTTGGACTACAGCCTCTAAGGAGTAAAGATGAAAAAGTGTGACACACTGACATCCACATTTATTGTATAGATGACAGTCTTAAGCTATCATACTTTGCCTAAATACTTAGCTGGAACCAGGTTTTAGCAAATGCATCCTTGAAAGGTTTTATACTTTATAACCATTATAAAAGAATCAGTCTACTATAAAATTACATTTATATCCAATTTCCTTTTGCATGAGAAGTTATAATCAAAAATTGTATATTATATTGTATTTTCCTCTTCCACCCTCTTTATTACTTGCTAATTAAATCCGGTATTAATGTCAGAGTTCCAGAAGAGAGAATTTTGCTGAGTGCATATTCATTTTATACTTTCTTATGTTTCTAGAGATTGACTAAGTACTACACCATAAACAAAAGAGAAATGGAAGATTGTGTTGCTCTAATCTTCCAACTGGAAAAGATTTGCCTTAAAAATCAGCATTCAAAATCCTAGCTTTTATCTGGAATTCAACACTGAGTGGTGGTGGTAGGAAATCTGGGGACATGCTGAAAAGTTATTGGCCTAACCCACTTCCCAATCATCTGAATTTTCAGCACCCCCTTGTACACAGCTATTCCTGCCATGATATAGTACCCAGTTATATTATGCTTATGACATATTCCCCAGTTTTATTATGCTTATGGCATATTGCTGCCATGATATAGTACCCAGTTTTATTATGCTTATATCATATTCCTGTCATGATATAGTACCCAATTTTATTATGATTATAGCATATTCCTGCCATGACATAGTACCCAATTTTATTATGCTTATATTTCAAATCTCAGAAGTTCATAGACTGAATCAAAAATGATTTTTTTACATTAATAAAGCTGTTGAAAAAATAAAGTAGAGGTAAAATCGGATAATTTATCAACAATTATTGTTATTGCGTTAGGGAGCAGCATACCAACAAAGTGATGCTGGAGTACAAGTATACCCAATATACCCATCATGACAAGCAATCTGGTAAGTGTATACAAAGCACATGCATCACAGCCAAATGTATGTGATGTTGTGGCAGGTTTTAATAAGAGCGATACATAAACTTGCAGTT